AAACATATCACTTATAAAGTTACTAAAAAACAATTTAAATCATTGAAAATATAGTGTGACATTCTGTCATCACATCCCCAAACTTGAACAACTTCTTTTCCCCAAGGAAAACACTTGAACAGCTGAGAGTTTTAAACAAAAGTCTTAAGGATCTACCAACTTGATGATAATTTCTAAACAATAGTTTTAGGAATCACTAGTAAGACTAACCTTCAAGCCCATACATGTTAAAACACATGTATGATTTCTTCAACCATATAATGAAAGAGCATGAGTAACCAAGTCACTTGCATGTATACCACTTCTAAAAAACACTACACCTAAAAATATATTCTATTACAAAACTTTCACCCCAACCAACGAACAAACGAAATGTAAATCGTACATGTGTCACATTTCAATTTTTATTAAAAATAATATCGATTATGTCAGTTAAGCTAACAATCGAGGGGAAAAGTTTTGATAAAACCCCTTCGAACACCAAAAGTGAATTTTAGCGTATTTTTTAATATATTACTTATGACAGTTTCCCTCAGTTGAGCTGCCAACCAAGGGGAAAATATTTTATTCAAGACATATTTTCTCTGTTGAGCGATCAACCTAGGGAAAACTATTTTAGCACTTTTTTATTTATTTATTTATAAGTAACAAATCTTTGATATCCATTTATAAAATAGCAACTTTAATACATTGTCAACTCATCAATCCACATGAAACATCAGTGATAGGGATGAAACCCACACCAACCAATTAGGATGTGAATACCAAAAAGTTTTATCTTGGATGCAAAGAGTTGAAATTCAAACTTGATATAATGAAAATAGTGACAATGAAATCAGTTGCATAAAGTACAACACCATTATCTAGGATGAATTGCAAGAACAGAAAAAAAATTTTAAGGTTGGTTCCTTAATGTAATCTCTTCTTTTATAATTGCTAAAATTATTTTGTTAAATGCATGCTTGTTAAAAGTGTTTGATGCTAGTTAGAAAAGTATGGATGTAACTTTTAAAAGTTTGTTGTTGTTAAAAATATTATAAAAATAAATTTCGTTCAACCCGAAGATACATTAAACATTAAACTTCAATAAAAACATTTTACATGATACAACTACAAGAACTAATAACATTGCTAGGTTATATTCATGATTTCCTAACTAACATTAAACATTTTTAACAATCATGCATTGAAAAAATAATTTTAGCAATTACAAAAATAGAGATTACATTAAGAAACAAACCTTGATCAAAACATTTTTATGCTCTTGCAATCATTTATGAAAAACGGTATTATTGTTTTTGATTTAACAGTAGAAAAATCTATCGAGGTGAAAAGTGGAGGATTTTGCCTCAGCGGAAAACTGAACTGAGGAGAAAAGTAATGGACTTTTTAGTACACCCTTCGTTATCTTGTCCATCAAACCGAGGTAAAAGCCTTTTTTTAACCGAAATGAAAAACTTATTTTTTGATAATGAAAGCAAATGGTCATATCCACCGGTTCCTCCGTTGCCACCTTCGTACCTAACAAAATAAATAATTTCTGGCTTTTCATATGTTCCAAATGTCGGAGTGCCAAACAAAGATCAAGCATGCTCTAGTCCAAGAGCCCAAGAAATCTCAAACAAAGAGTCTAACTCCCTGGGTAGTATGCAAACTCACCATAACAATCTAAAAATAGTAGATCAAAGACAAAACACACATTATAAGTTATAAAGAAATGACAACTAAACTCCATAATAACCTGGAAAAACATGTAAATCTTAAACCTTAAATCCTAAGTTATTCTTTGTTGGAGTCCTTTCCTAAAGTAAGTGCTAAGAGAAGACAATAAACTTAGAAAGAGCAAAACTATTCTTGATCTGCCTTACTCCCTTAGATTAGGGGTGTGCATGGATTATAAACCAAACCAAACCAAACATATATATGGTTTGGTTTGGATCTTAAAACCATTTATATAAAATCGGTTTACTTTTTTAAAACCGGTTTATAAGTGGATTGGTTCGGTTTCAAACCGATTTTTTTTAAATAGTTTTTTTAAAAACCAGTTTTAAACCGGTTTCTCTCAAAACCAGTTTTTTATTTTCTTTAAAGAAATCAGTTTTAAAACTAATTTTATAAAAAAAAAAAACCAGCTTTAAAACCAATTTTTTTTAAAAAAATCAATTTAGAGAGGATTTCATATCAAAGTAGTATTATCACTAAAGAATTTAACCTCAATCTAAATAAAATGCATCCGCCTAAGAATAACTTTATCATTCTAAAGAATTTAACGACAAAATTATCACTAAATAGTAAAAATTGTAGATTAAAATTTGCAACATAGCACATAAATAGTTTTTATAACCATAGAGCAGTTTCATAAATTTAGTTTTCTCAGTTAATCACGTGTATATTTGGATTTTAATAATTAAAAATAAAAATAAAAGATAAAGATAAAGAGACTCTAATATAATCGTTCTAGAAGCTAGAACATTTCATTTTATTAATTAAATATATAAATCGAGTAATATCTATGTAGTATGCGGGGCCCACCCAATGTCATAATGTAATTTTCACTTATAAACCGGACATTTTATATCATAAATTCTTCTTTATTATTTTTATACGACTTTTTTAATATTTTTTATATTCAAGTCAAGAAATATGGTTATAATACTATGATTCATTTATGATATATTGATCCATTGTCGCGCGCGGATCAAAACGAGTGTTTTTGTAAAAATGTAGTACATCGACAGTAACTTGAAATATCGTTCTCAAGGATTCTTGATTGTTACTAATCGAATAAAAAAGGGAATTTTGTCGTGTTCGATTGAGAAAAAGTAATAAACAAAAGTGATTATTGAAATAAGATGTTGTGAAATAAGTGATTATGAAATAAGTCAATCTACCGATTCGGTTCCTACTATCATCGATTGTTATAATTTTAATATCCTAAGCGTTTATTCCTATCTGGATACAAACACAATGACAAGTGCGATAAGATTTGCAAGATGTATGATCCTATTGTCCAAAACTAGAATAAATTCCTAATGCTGTAACTTCAGAGAATATTCTGGGAATATGTGCTCTGAATCTAATTTTGACTCCAACACGAAAGTTGTAGCTCTCTGTTTTAGCTTTCCGTCGACTGGTAGAACGCGTCGATCCGACTCCCGAAACTCCAGTTATGATCGTTTCCGTAAAAGCTGCTAAAGCTGAAAATTAAGTACGAAAATTAAATTAAACCAAAAATAAAATAAAATATAAAAATATAATAAAACATAAGAATAATCAAAATAAAGTAAAGTAATGTCTAAGTAAAAATATAGGAGAATGTGCATAAAGATGCACGGATCATATATATATATATATATATATATATATATATATATATATATATATATATATATATATATATATTTATATTTATATATATATATATATATATATATATATATATATATATATATATATATATATATATATATATATATATATATATATATATATATATATATATATATATATATATATATATATATATATATATATATATATATATATATATATAAGTTTTATTACATGTACATTACTTTAATTGTCATTTATAACCATGGAACAAAAATAAGACAAAGAGTTTCAAAAGTGGATTAACCATGGTTTTAAAAAGTGGTTACCGATTTTTAATGGTTTTAGTAAAATGAATTTGGACTAGTTTTTAAATCAAATAATATGAACTTTTGAAATCGGTGCATTAGATTTTTAAATTTGATTCTCGTGATCCAGTTTTTTTGCACACCCCTACTTTAAATAGGTCATTTAATTGAAGAGTGAGAGTTAATAAAATATGATAAATTGTTGTGACCAAGAGCACACCATCCTCGCCACGATACCACCATTAAGAATCATCTTTTTATAGAGAAATTTATAGCCTAAATTTGTTAGGCAAGAATACTGAAAATTTCAAACTTTGAGACCAAAAGTCATATCCACCAACAAAAACCTCAAGATTAGCCCATATCTTTTTAACGACCCATACTCCTCACAATAAAGTTTCACCAAGTCGAAAACTAGAAAAGCCTAAGAGATTTGGCTCTCAATGTAATGAGATTCAAATTTAGATCCTCTGCAGTGTTTTATTTTCTACTATTATTCAGCCACCATCTTAGCCACTCATTTGGTATGATAGAAATAAAGAAGAGAGAGATTGAGAAGATAGAATTAATAGAGAAATAACCAAGTTCTACTGATTGATATGCAAAGAAATAAGAGAGAAATATAACACTTGGGTCCCACAAACTTTTTAAATCTTCCATGATGAGCAAAGAAATGGATAAGAAGTTTTGCCAAAGAAAAATGTTATTTTTACACTCTTTTCTACAACCAATATTTATATTGTATGCACTGTTTACCGTATTTATACGGTAAATAGTGTTTTTCTTATTAAAATAATATATATTTTTAAAATATTAATGTTTTTTTAAAAAAATATTTATTTTTAAAATTTATTTTATAACACAAATGTATGATTGTGCATTAATCAACTTCACAGTTACATTAACCACAAAAATCTACATCATTAGCTAATCATTTTACTTATAATTTATTAACCACTTTCACTATTTCATTAACCAATAAAATACACACTATTAACCATGTTTTGAGAAATTTGTTCAAATATTTGTGAACAATAAATTAGATATTAAATGTAAAAAAGGGTGTCAACGTAGCAATCCTGCCAAATTCCATTTAATTGTATATATAGACTAGCTTGCTATTTGTGGAGGATGATACGTTTTGCTATAAACCTGTTTATTGCATAAATGTCTGCTTATTATAATTGAAACAAATTTAAATAATAATTTGGATATAAAAATATACTATCTTGTGTTATTTCAACGGTGACATATTTCTCAAATAAAAAAATTAATGGAAAATTAAGTAATATTTATTGAATTAGTATTTTCTATATAAATATGTTGGTTGGTTCTTAGACTCATGCATTTATCAAATTGAAAATGTCTAAACCATACTCGATGTGGCTCTGTATTCTCTCTGCCTCACTCTATTATTTCTTCTTCACCTGCTTAGCTATGAGTACTAAAAAAAGCATCACCACCGATGAATTTGCACTTCTTGCATTCAAATCCTCTATCACCTTAGACCCTTTTCATATGCTTAGGAATTGGTCAATATCATCTAATTCTTCTTCTTTCTCTTCATGCAAATGGATTGGTGTTACTTGTGATGAACATCATGGAAGAGTAAATGCATTGAATCTTAGTCACATGGGTCTTCAAGGCACCATTTCACCTCAATTGGGCAATCTCTCTTTCCTTCTTGTTCTTGATCTACAAGCCAATAGTTTCCACGGTGAGTTACCACCGCAAGAGTTATTTCAAATTAATCTATCCAATTTGTCAACTTCATCATATTCCATTGCAGGAACCATTCCACATGTTATCGGACAACTTCGTCGATTAAGGATTTTGGATATTCGAGATAACGTGAAGCTGTCTGGGATCATACCAAAAACAATTTCAAATATGTCTTCACTTCAAGAACTCCATCTATCAAATAACTCTTTAACAGGTATAAATATGATAGATATGCTCACACTCACACTAGTACAACATAGCATGCATGACATGATATTGAGTTTAATGTCTTTCCTATGTTTATATGTATTGATTTACAGGAGAAATTCCGAAAGGAATCAGCGATCTTATGCAATTGAGAGTTGTGAACCTTGAAAATAATATCCTCACAGGCAACATACTATTTATGTTCGACAACTCATCATCGTTGCAAAATTTGAATCTTGGTTTTAATAATCTGTCTGGCAATCTTCCATCAAATGTTTGTCAAGGGATTCCAAACCTTAAAATACTCTATCTGTATGCTAATGATCTTTCTGGAAAGATACCAAAGGTTTGGAGTTATTGCAAAGAATTGGAAGATTTAGAGCTATCTTATAATAATTTTGACAAAGGACCTTTGTCAGCTGACATTGGAAACTTGACCAAGCTTCAATTTTTATATCTTTCTAATAACAACTTGGAGGGTAAGATATTTTTCACCAACAAATTATCTGATTATTTAATGTTTCTTTAAAGAGTTTATATAAATATATGTTTGATACATGCATGAAAGATGGGATTGTGAGTTAAAGTAAAGACACTCAAAACATCACATAATAGCGAAGTAATAAGTTAAAAATAAATTGAGTTAAGTTATAAAGGACTAATACTGAGTAATTCAGTTATAAACTTATAGTGTGAGCAATATTGTGATATTCAACATCAATAATGGACCTATTAGGATTGATTTTTGGAGCTCTAAAAAACAAGATTTATACGGAAGAAAATACAAAAGCCTAAAGAAAAGTGTTTGTCCTAATGTCATTAGCTTGAGCATCACTTTATGCTTTTAGAGTGAAAGTGATATCAAGATAACTAGGTTTCAGCAAATGACCATTGTGATATGTCAAAACCCAAAAACAAACGATATGAAGAAAAATATAATGGAATAGGTACGACCTCAGTCTTGCTTGGAGCACACAATCTCGACTTCTTGTCAATTTTCCAGCATCAAATTTAATCGAAAGATGATATGGATGAGACTTCAAATCAAGCGGAAACAATTCTAACCGTCCTCTCTATATAAAGCCTATTCAAATATTTTACTCATTCATTCACTTAATTGAACATTGAAGTGCTAACTTTGTAAATCTACCTCTGCTCCTCCGTACCAAAAGCATGATCCACCGCACCTGAACCCCATCAGACTTTTTCATCAACTATTTTTCGTTTAGGAACGAAACAATAACATTGTCTGTGAAAATTGACATCTGATTCCCACAAAATTCCACGAGAAACCACAATCTCTTCACCGCAACATAATGTTCCAGATCTTACAGAGGAGACTCGCCTCCTCCAAGGGTCGAAGACGATCTTATCCTAGTGACTTCACTTCCTGCTCCTCAATTGCAAGATTCAGCCCCTACGACAACCAGCCAATGGACATTCCCAGTCCTCTTAATTTTCCATCCACTTCAGTAACCACTTCAAGGCTAAACTTCGAGCCACCTCCGCCGCAACTAACGATTCTGGAAGATGCATCAAAGTATTCAACAGTTGCATGCCTGTCTAGGTATGAGAGGTGTTAATGATCTACTCAACAACGTCTATAACCTGGTGTAACAGCAAAACTCACACTCTTTGGATGAAGGAGTACTCTAAATCAAAGAAAATTTCCAATGTGCTATTCCGCGGGAATATTCATTATGCAAGGCACCCTCGCACATAGATCAAGGAATTGAATCAAAATCAATCTTTGTTGGCGCTATCTCTCAATGCAATTCGTTACCTAGATCCCCATATTGCACCAAGTGTCGAGAACACCATGCGAGTCTTGGGGAAGAGGAGGAATCCACACCCCTTAGAGATTTGTCGCCCCCACCCTTCACTTTCCTGCTACTCCCGAAGAGACGAGAGGCGCATATTCGAAACACTGGTTTTCCAAAAGAAGAGGAATCCATTCTTGAAGTACATCCTTGATAGAGGGATCTCAAAGTCCCTCGTGAAATCTCTCAAGTTAGACAGTTATGACGGCTTGGGAGATCAAGACGAGAATATTGAGCATGTGGATACGAGACTCAATCACCACCACATCTTGGGGCCATGAAATGAAAATTATTCATGATAACCCTTTAAGGAGCCACGATGACATGTTTCAAAGCCCTCCCAGACAAAAGCATAAACTCCTAGAAAGAACTTTACTACTCATTTGGCGTCTTGTTCACTACTTGAAAACAATAACCCACTAAGATAAATGTACTCAGTGGAATTCAACAAAAGAAGAAGTTACATGAGTACATTGGTTGATTCACCAAAGTAGCATTGGAAGTTGGGGGAGTGAATGATAGATTAAAATGTTGGATATTTAAAAAGGGACTGAGACCAGACTATATGTTACGCGAGAAGTTAGAGCTAGAATGGGCAAGCAAATTAAATAATCTTTTAACTAGGGCCTAGCGTTACATCAATTATAAGGAAAAATTCCTGGAGAAAGAGGTAGAAATAGTCTGGGAAGCAGGACATCCAGGAAATGGGTAAGGGTCGAAAAGAGACAACCATCATTGTTGGTGCGATGGACAGGGCACCTCGAGCTAGGTTCACTTCCTATACTCCCATGAATAATTCATTGGAGAAAATCCTAAAAGATTATGCTAATATAGACTTCAAGTAAGCCTGGATAAGAAACCTTTATCCGATCATGGAATCCTCCAGGACTGACATGAAAAGATATTGTCATTTCCCTAAGATCCACGACCACAACACCAATGAATGTGCCTAATGAAGGATTTGATCGAAGGGTTGATAAATAATGGGAGACTCACCTGCTACACCCATGAAGGCGGTCAAAAAGATGACCCAGAAAGAAAGAAAGCCAAAAAGAACCCCTCGCATGGAAAAAGGATCTCATAAGAAAAATATATAGGTCTTGGGAAGGGGTAAAGGGAAGAAGGATAGTAGCAACGAAGAAGAACAAGACCGAAAATAGAAATGCTATTACATCATATTCATTATTAGAGGCCTTCCCAGGCCAAGGAACTCATCCAAAGGCACCATTAAGTGAAGAATCAACAATCTAAAGGAGATCAACAATGAAGAATATCTAACTTCTAAATGGAAACCATAGAGGTCAATCCTCTAGTTTCGTAATAGCGAAAAGGTGGACAGGATCCCAAATAAGATATTTCCCCTCGTAATAAATGTGGTTATGGACAACTTAAATGTAATTTTGATTCCTTATAAACAGGGGGAACTAGTTTGACATCATGGATGCATAACTTTTTGATAAACTCAGGCTAACGAGAGAAAAGTTAACACTATATGAAGGATCTAACCTGCAAGCTTTTAACAACATACTAAGTCTCTCTTTAGGATACATCGTATTGATTGTCACACTTGGAGTATGAAGAGACATTATAATGCTTGATCTTCATTTAGTGAAATGTATCTAATGGTGTTCCGTATTTTACATAAATACATCATACTTTATAGTATTTTTTATTTCACTTAAGTATATCGTATCTTACGGTGTTCTATATTGCATTTAAATACACCATATTTAATAGTATATCGTGTTTATCTAATTAACAATAGTGTATTGCAAGACTGTACAATTAAATAAACTTCAATTATTTATTTTCTCCCATCAATTTGTTTTTATGTGAGTGTGGTCCTATAAGTTCTCTTTATCTAAACTTATACTTTTTGAAAAAGAATTTACAAATTGAATGCAATAACTACTATACTATTCCTAATTATTGCGATTTGGTCAAAATGGCCTTACACACCAAGACACTATAATTTCCAAGTACAAGCCTTTAACTTATAAGATGAGACTCGTACTTAATTGTACAACCCATGAACTTTGACAATGTTATACTTAATTACAACTTTAATATGAGACTCATACTTTCATATCTTGTGTTACATACAGGTGCAATTCCATTATCTCTCTTCAACATTTCTTCTTTAATTCAGATCAACTTTGATATAAACCATTTAAATGGAACTCTCCCGCAGGATATGTGTCATCAACTTCCTCATCTTGAAATAATAACTTTACATGTTAACTATTTGGAAGGATTCATTCCTCGATCAATCGGCAATTGTACAACATTAACAAGATTAACTTTACAAGATAACTTTTTCACAGGTTCAATACCGATGGAGATTGGTCATCTCAATCAACTTGAGTATCTACAATTTGGAAGCAACAACTTGAGTGGATCTATTCCTTTGAATATCCTCAACATTTCAACAATGGTTAGTTTTCTTCTTCATCTAAATTCTCTCTCCGGAAATCTTCCATCAAATATGGGATTTGGCCTTTCAAACCTACTACAACTACACTTGTATGGAAACAAGTTTGTTGGAAAAATTCCAAGTAGTATTTCCAATGCTTCAAGCATGTATGAACTTGACTTGAGTGAAAATGAATTTAGTGGAGTTGTACCTAGTTCTTTGGGAGATTTAACATTCCTTAAGTCACTCTTCTTAGGTGGGAATAATTTGACGTTAATAGATGATTCTCATGAATTCAACTTCCTTACTTCACTAGCAAGTTGTAGATATTTGAAATACCTTGACATATCACAGAATAGTTTACTATCAAAACTTCCCAAGTCCATTGGAAACTTATCTGTAGAAAACTTTTCGGCAACTTCTTGTGGAATTAGGGGAAATATTCCTCTAGAAATCGGAAACATTAGCAATTTGATTCGATTATCTCTAAGTAGTAATGATTTAAATGGACCAATCCCTATAACAATTAAAGGGTTACATGAACTTCAATATTTAGATCTCGGCGACAATGGACTTCGAGGATCTTTACTTCATGAGCTTTGTGAATTTAGGAGTTTGAGTGAGTTGTATTTAACAAGCAATAAGTTTTATGGTGTGTTGCCAACATGCTTGGGAAACATGACTTCTCTTAGAAAGTTTCACATTGGATCTAACAGGTTAACCTCTACAATACCTACCTCCTTTTGGAATCTCAAAGATATTTTAGAGGTAAACCTATCCTCTAATGCTTTAATTGGAAATCTTCCATTTGAGATTAGCAATTTGAGAGCTCTTGTACTATTAGATGTATCGAAAAACCAAATCTCAAGCAATATTCCACCAACCATAGGTTTGTTGAATACTTTAGAAACTCTCTCCTTAGCAAATAACAAATTGAAAGGGCCTATCCCAACATCACTTGGTGAAATGGTAAATTTGGGTTTCTTGGACTTGTCTCAAAATCTTATAACCGGTGTGATCCCGAAATCTTTAGAGTCGCTTTCTCTTCTTAAACACCTTAATCTGTCATACAACAGATTGCAAGGAGAGATTCCAAATGGAGGGCCTTTCAAAAACTTCACAGCTCAATCATTCATTCATAACGAAGCACTTTGTGGCAGTCCTCGCTTAAAAGTATCTCCATGTGAAAACCATATAAGGAAAATGTCAATGACAAAGAAGTTGTTAATCATATGCATGTCATCCATAATTGTTGTGTTAGGCATTTTGGTTGTTGCGTGCGTGATACTTCGAATGCATAAAAGGAAAAAGATTGGAAATCCAATTGAAAAGGATTTATCAACTTTAGGGGCTCCAAGAAGGATTTCCTATTACGAACTTGTGCAAGCAACTAATGGATTCAATGAGAGTAATTTACTTGGAAAAGGTGGTTTTGGATCTGTGTATCAAGGAATGCTTACTAGTGGAAAGATGGTAGCAATTAAAGTACTTGACTTGAACTTGGAAGCAACATCAAGAAGCTTTGATGCAGAATGCAATGCCATGCGCAACCTTCGACATCGAAATCTTGTTCAAGTTATCACTAGTTGTTCAAATCTTGATTTCAAATCTATAGTGATGGAGTTTATGACAAATGGAAGTTTGGAAAAATGGTTATACTCAGAAAACTATTTTTTGGATTTCTTGCAAAGGTTGAATATAATGATAGATGTTGCATCTGCATTGGAGTATCTCCACCATGGTTCTTCAATACCAGTGGTTCATTGTGATTTGAAGCCTAGTAATGTGTTACTGGATGAAGATATGGTTGCACATGTGAGTGATTTTGGCATTTCCAAGCTCTTGGATGAAGAACATTCTAAAACTCATACTGAGACTTTAGCTACTCTTGGTTATGTTGCACCAGGTAAGTTCTTCACTAGTAAAATTAAATAAATTTTTATTGCATATTTTATTTGATAACTAGTTATTGGTTGTGACATGTAGAGTATGGTTCTAAGGGAGTTATTTCTGTTAAGGGAGATGTGTATAGCTATGGAATAATGCTAATGGAAATCTTCACAGCAAAGAAGCCAACAAATGAAATGTTTGCAGGAGAGTTGAGCTTGAAAACTTGGATCAGTGAATCAATGGCCAAATCAGTCATGGAAGTTGTGGATTTCAATTTAGTCTCACAACATGAGAAAGAAATTCATGAAGTTTTAGTCTTAGCATTGAGATGTTGTGAAGATTCACCTGAGGCGCGAATTAATATGATGGATGTAACTACATCATTGATCAAAATCAAAAAAGGAAATCAATAAATAAAATGAAGCAGTGAATTATAAATCACATAGTACCTTATATTTTGTAATTTTTATAGCTTTCATTAGTGTTAGACTAATTCAATAAATTTTATTTTAGTGTTTTGATGTTAGCTATGATATTAAATGGTTATTTGTTTTGATTTTAAAAAATAATAATTGTGGTTGAAAGGAAGTTAAAATCACTTGAAGTCACATTTTACCTCTTCGAACTAGATTATTTGATCTAATGGCTGGATTCAGGCGTTGAAAATCCAAAAAGAAAAAAAAATACATATTTAAAGAAAATGGAAGTGATAATTAATTTCCACATACTTCATCAATATATAAAATTTATACTTTTAACTATTATTTTTTAGTAATGTATTTGTGTATTATTTTTAGAAATGATACAATAATTGAACATAAAAAAATTTAATATTTCTTTTAAAGAATAAGCATTTTAAAAAATGAAATATATACAAATGTTACGAAGTTTAGTGTATTTGTTTTAGAAATAATACAGTAATTTAACATACAAAAATTGATTTTATTTATTAAAAATTCTAAAAAAAAGTAAAATTTATGTACTATTGTTATGAATTAAAAAAAGGCAAAATACCTTTTTTTTCATACTTTTATTATATCATTGAGTTCAAATTGATTTTTTAATTTTTTTTGTGTCAGATTGGTCTTTTTATTCTTTAGAATGTACTATGTTAGTCCGTTTTGTCTAATTATTGACGGAAAAAATTAAAAACCGGTTGCTAAAGAGTTTAGAGACCAATCTGACACGGAAAAAAAAAAAGTTTCTTAATCCACCCCTTGATACTCTTAGGCACATAGTGAATTTCCTTTTATGCCCTCTACTTTCGGAGATACACATCCGGACGCACATTTTTTTAAAAATTTGGATGTTTTCGGAACTACACAGCTATGGAATAACTTTCTACTGGAATACATTGCGAAAAACTTGAAAATAAATCAGTTCAGAGGAACTTCCGGAGATGCACATTCGGAACGTCTAAGCGTCAGAATGTTCCGTAGATAAAGCTTCGGAAGTTACTGATATATTTTAAACCTGCGTGATCACTCCTCCATTGTTATCTTTTCTTCTTCCACACTCACCTTAACCAAACTAAAAAACCCTACATTCACAATATCATTTTCACTACAAAATTCCAACTTTTTCGTGCAACAAATCAAAGGGAGAAAGAGAAGATAGAATTTCAGATAAATATTTCCCTTTCTCCACTACATTGCTCACATTAATCATCAAAGTTTTGGAGAAAAAAAGTAACGTTGCTTCCAGAGTTGCATCTCTGAAACGTGTTGTAGATGAACACTTTCGGATTTACACCTCCGGAACGTGTCTGCTCTGTTTTTTTACAGCAGTTTTGTAATTATTGTTTACAAATAGATATGGTGCACCCCGCTAATATCTCCAAAGAATTAGTTTCCACAAATAATGTTTTTCCGAACGTTCAAGGGATTGTCATAAAGTCGGTAGATGTCGATGTTGACTTTAATAACAAGCAAGAGTTTGATGATCGTGATAGCATGCTTACATGGATTCGTAGGAATGCAACTAGACTTGGTTTTGGTGTGGTTATAGGAAGATCTGATAATGGTTTGGAAAGAAGAAACACTTTTGTAACTTTGTTGTGCGAAAGAAGCAGAAAATATTAGACTCCTCTACGGAAGTTTAAGAGAGGCGACATCGGTAGTAGAAAATATGAATATCCTTTTAAGATTCGTGATTACATGTTGAGTACGAAAAAGTGGAAATTTAGTGTTATTTGTGGTTTGCATAACCATGAATTGTGCTTAAAGTTACAAGGTCATCCTAGTGTATGTCGGCTCAAGTCGGAAGATAAGACATGTATTAGTGACATGACCTTGAATCTTGTCCAACCGAAAAATATACTTGCCACATTGAAACGGAAGGAACCCGACAATATATCAAATATAAGGCAAGTGTATAACATTCGGTACCGCACCAACAAGGCGATTAGGAGAGATAGAAGTGAGATGCAACAACTGTTGAAATTGTTGGATGATAACAGTTACGTGTCCCGGTACAGAACTTGCGACGATGGAGTTACGGTCCGAGATATTTTTTGGACTCATCCGGATTCGATAAAGTTGTTAAATAGGTTCTCGACAGTGCTCATTCTTGATTCTACCTACAAGACCAACAAGTATAGACTTCCTTTATTTGAGATGGTTGGTGTTACGTCTACCGAGAAGACATATGCTGTTGGTTTTGCTTTTCTGGAGTGTGAAAAAAAGGACAATTTTACATGGGCATGAGAGGTGTGTCAGGAACTTTTGAAGGACCAAGTTGAGATGCCTAAAGCGACTATTACCGACCATGATACCGCATTGATGAATGCGGTTGCAAAGTTATTTCCTTCTTCTAACGCATTTGTCGATATCACATAACAAAAAATGTGAGAAGTCAGGTTAAACCCGTCGTAGAGGCAAAACAAGTAGAGTCCGAGGGTGGAAAATTGGTGAAGGCTGGTGTGATTGTTGAAAAAATAATGGATGCATGGAATCGTATACTAAATTCTTCCACAAAAGAATTATATGCCGATTTCGCCATTCAATTTTGGAAAGTGTGTGAAAAGTATCATACTTTATTGAAATACATTGAAAACACCATTCTTGATCAGGTGAAGGAGAAGATAGTATATGTGTGGACTGATAATGTCCGACACCTTGGAAATACAACCACCAACAAAGTTGATTCGGCCCATGCTAGTTTGAAAAATTGGTTGGGTAATAGCAAGGGACATTTGTGTCGAGATTGGGACTGTGTAAACCTCATGATTAAAAAACAACATAATGAGATACAAACAACATTTGGTTGAGTATAATTATATCGGAACATCGATTTAAAGACAACATTCTTTATTCTCAATTGATCTGCAATATGTCTCGGTCGGGGTTGAACTATATTTTTCACGAGGCCAAACGAGCTGAAACTGTACGTTCCGATAGCGCAAAGTGTGGTTGCACTATTGTGAAAACCTATGGTCTTCCGTGTGCTTATGTTATTGCTACAAAGTTGAAACTAGGTGAGCCCATAAGAATGGATAAAGTTTTCCCTCATTGGAAAAGACTTAATTTTGATGATGATGGTTGCATGGAAGGAGGTAAACCGAATATCTCTATTTTGATTGAATGGGAAGCGATACAAGAGAGATTCTCAAAGGCTGATGACAACATGAAACTCTACATCAAAGAACAATTGAGGAAGATTTCCTATCCCGAAACAACTGACATGAAAGCGCATTCTCAACCAGTAAAGACAAAAGGTGCTCCGAAGAAAGTGAAGCCTACATCGAATGACAACTCGACTACACGGTATCCTTCTTATTGTGAGCATGTTGACAAAATTTATCCTGACTCACCGACTCCTAAATCTCAAAATAGTGTCATGAAAGGAGTCCGCATAAGAAAACTGCCTCCGACCCCGACTCCACCAAAATTCCATTCATCGATGAGATGTCGATATTTATGCACAAATACATCGACCGCATCGTCAATGTTGAAGGGGATGGTAATTGCGGTTACCGAGCCGTTTTGGCTTTGCTTGGTAGAGTAGAGGATAATCATGCATTTGTCTATCATCAATTAATCCAAGAGTTGAAGACGCATAAAGAATAATACACACAGATGTATGGAAAGAAATAAAAATTCGATGCGGTTTATGAATCTCTTGTTCCTTGCTTGAGTGGTCCAACACCGGTGTCGAAATGGATGACTTTCCCTGATATGGATCATCTTATTGCATGTGCATATTGTCATACCCAAATTTTTTACCTTAAGATAACCACATCATTTGCATCTCATACATACAATATTATGCATCACTAACCCATTTTTAGAAACTCAAGATCGTTGTTTGCTTCATTATGATCTCCAATTAGGGTTTTTAAGCTCTACAGAGGATTCAGGCAAAGGATCGACTAAGAATTAGCATGATTTTCAACTTATCAAGTTCCTCAGTTATCCATGGAGATAAAGAGATCCCACTCACCAAGAATCAAGGACAAGATGACATCATTTCAAGTTGGTCAAGCCTCAAGATCATCTATGCCACCAAATCAGGGTCATGACCTAATTCAACCCCTAAGATAACTTATGGATCAAGGTATGATCCAATACCTCAAGATATGTTTCAAGGACCTCAAATACATCATATTAGTCGATTCACATGATTGTATTAATCCAAAGAACTTGATTCATAAACAATGCAAGAACTTAAATCCATCTGAACCACAAACTAGGGTTTTGATAAAAAGTTAACCATAACTTTGACTTTTGATCAAGACATGATCTCAAACTTTGGAATATGATTGAAGATACTCAAATATACCCTTGAAGTCCATCCATAAGTTTAAAATCACCTTGGGGTATTCATTCATCAAAAATCAGGAATTAGAGTTTCCCTGCAAAAAATTCATCTGATACACAAAGTCAAAGTTTGACTTTTTAAGCAAAAATGTTCATCATAAGCCACTATACAAGAAAACATGGTCCATTGTTGCATTTTAATAAGAATTTATCAAGAAGTCAAGGTTACTTGCAAAAGGGGAAAAGTTGAAGAAATTGAAAATTTCACTAAGTTATGAAAAAAACATGATTTTTTACCTAACTTTACAAGGCCATAACTTGTGATCCAAGTAACCAGTTTTTGCACTTCAAAGCTCAAATGATATATCTCATCACATACAAAAATATTTTTGGGCTGAAACATCCACAAAAAATGTATAGATTTGGAGTTACATGGCCATGAAGTTACAGTTTCATGATGTTTTGAACTTTAACACATAGTGAAAATTCTGCCAAGTTTTCAGCATGAAACATCAATTTTCAAGGACATTTTTCATTATGAATCAAGTCCAATTGTGAACATTAAAGTTTAAGTACATAATATGAGCGTTCCAAAGAGTACAAGAACATCATCAAACTCCACTTGATCAAAGAGTTATGGATGGATCAATACACCT